CTAAACAGGAGGAACAGAACCAAAATCACTAATAGAAAACACAAAACGCTGGGTCAAAAGGACCCAGGATCATGACAGGTCATCTCTCGATATTCCAAAAAAAGACAAAAAATTTCCCCACTTTTTTCCCCGTCTTTTTAAAGGAAGCATGTTTACCCTTAATCAAAAAAGTAAGTTTCTCTAAAGCTTGGGATTTGGACAAAGTCAACAGTCAAGTTCTCAAATGTGGTCTAGTAATGGATCTCCAAGATTTGGCTATATGTATTTTGCTTGTAACAAGCAGTAGATAGCATTTCAGTGGGGAAGATCCCTAGAATACATAGTTTAGGACACGGATTCAGCTTAACACTTGTAATATGCACAATTACATCTAAGACTTCTTTCCAAAACCTTTGGATTTCAGAAGATTCCCACAGGCAATGCATCAGTGTGCCTTTGTCCCCACAATTAACACATATGTCTGGAATGTTAGGATCAAATTTGTTTAACAGTGTTGGAGTTACATATGTTCTCTATAAACACCCACTTTAAACTAATCCAATATAAATGGCTATTGATTGTGTTTGGGCTTTCAAGCAGGCTTTCTGCCATTCCTCTATGGTATACTACATTTTAAGCCTTGCCACCATGAGAATGTTGGAGAGCCATGTCTAACGTTACTATAAAAGCGCGATATTATGCCCTTCCTTTGGTGGTGGTTTATTTCAATGTCCTCTAATGAGTTTAGAGTAGACAGTGTTAGAGATTTTTGAGTTTTTGAAATAAAGCTTCTGATTTGAAGAAATTTAAAAAAATGTTTAGGAGGAATGCCAAATTTCTGTGTCAAGTCATTGAAGCACATCAAATCTTTATATTTTGCTGAATACAGGTAAGAACTGAGCAGTAAGGAGGTAGTGCTTGTCCTTTCTAAATTTACCCAAGATAACTTTGTCACTAAAAACCAGCATGAGGCTGTAGAGAGATGGGCAGCCCAATAGTACCATTTGAGGTCTGGTATACCTAGGCCCCCTCTATCATACAGAAGATATAGTAACGATAGGCATAATCTGGCTTGTCTGTTATTCCAGATACATTTATTGAAGATTGTTTTTATCTTTGTGAAGAAGTCATCTGGTGGGCTGAGAGGAATGGCTTGGAAAAGATCAAGAAATGTGGGAAAACACTCATCTTGAGTATGTTTACGCATCCAAACAGAGAGATTTGACCATAGACCATCTATTGATTGATTGTACAACAGAGCTAATTGCTTGAGTGTAGTTTGCATATACCAATTCATCTATTTTTGGAGTCATTTTTATACCTAGAGAGGTAAGGCTGTCTTTGGCAACTTGAAAAATTGTTTAAATGGATGGTTTAATTCTTTCAGAATGTGTAAAGAAGAGAATGGCCAATTTGGATTAATTAATTTTATAACCGGAGATGCTGCTGAATGAGTTAATTGTTTTGAGTAGCTGGAGAACTGAACTCTTCAATTTGGACAGGATTAAAACAATGTCATCTGCAAATAATCCAATTTTTGAGCCATGTCTGGATGTTCTGAATTTGTTTAAATTACAAAGGCAATCCCAAAAGTAAGGCCTCCTATTATTTTAGATTATTTTAACACAAACAACCCTTTATTTTCCATAATATTTACATCATTTTAAAGTTTGAAGACTTATTTTCTACATAATCGCCATTTTGGTCGATGCATTTTTGTAGACCCTATGGCAGTTTTACAATGCCTATGTCATACCCGCTCGCCGCCGCAGAATTGGCTTCCAGACAAATGTTCTTTCAACTTTGGGAACAGGTCGTAGTCACTGGGTGCAAAGTCAGGACTGTAGGGTGGGTGGGTGATGAAGTTTCAACCAGAGTTTTGCAAGACAGCGACAGTTTGACGGGCGACGTGCTGATGCGCAGTGTTGTGGAGAATGCTTACGCACAGTGTGCGCACTGCGTGCTAGCGTAACTGTGTTTTGGGACTGAAAGGGGGTATTGTGGGTGAAAGGTGAACAAGCTGAAATTGTTCATCAGAACTGCACCTTTTAGTTGAATTCTTCCACTGGTGTATGAAAGAGGTGCCAGTCGCCGTGACGGAAAATTCTAATTTTTGCTGGGAAGATTAGTCCGAAGTTTATGTGTAGCTCATGAAGCTGCTGTTTTACCTGGTCATATTGTTTCCACTTTTTCTGAAGCTCCGTCGACAGGTCAGGGAAGAACATCACATGGTGTCTGTTGTTCATTAATTTTCTGCCCTCATCGCCCTCAACTTGTCTTGATTATTCAAGAACTTCATGATGACCACTCGGTGAGCCGTTTGAGATATTTTGGCCTTGTAGTCTATGTGCTCGCTCGACGATGGGGGGAGATGGGAACACACTTGCAAAAATGATGTGATTTCCCCTTGTTTAGCACTCTCAGGTAATCTGACAAGTCTCAGGTTGGATCTCTGGCAATGTTCCCTCTAAGCTGCGCACGTGCGCAATTGCGCACAGAAAATCTGCGTTGCGCTCAAAGAAAAACTCTAACCTGAATTGAAATTAAAAATAAAACTTCTACTATTCTCTTTTGCTGTGCTAGTCAGTAAGTGACTGGCTGGTCCCGTATGGGATTAGAATGATTCCACCTTATCCCATAGTCCAGCCAATAATGCAATTCACATTCGTATATACGCAGCTAGTCGTCGACAGGCTATGACAGCATCCTTATGTGCCTGTGTTTTAGCTAGCAAAGAGGTCTGGCTGATGTGGAGTGAAGCCACGTTAATGACAACGTGTACAACCATTGGAGATGTGAGCAGGACAGACGGAACAATTGATGGAAAAAGTGTGGACTTTATACCAGTTTTTAAATTATGTTGATAGGCCACGTAAAACCAGATTTAAAATATAAAATATATGCAATGTTTGGTTTTCTTCCTGAATACTATCGTTGTTTATATTTACTGCGGGAAGAAACCTTATATAAGAAAAAAGGCTCGAAAGCACTCTCCGCCTGTGAGCAAAAACAAAACCAAAAACACCCCCACCGTTTCCTATTGGTCGAAAAAAGTACCATGTCAACCAATCAAAAAATGATATGGCAAGTTGTTAAGAAACGGGGGGAAGTTTTAGGAGTGACGGCAGTGTTTTGAGATGTGAGAGATTTGCGACGTTTAGCACAAATCTTGTGTTAGTGTGTAGTGTAGTCAATAGTTTTCTTGCTGAATTTTACAGGTGTTACAGGAGTGATACATCTCCTGTTGTCAGGCCTGCAGGTATCAGGCTGTTGTTCTCCTTTATCTCATAGTGGACAGAAATTTTTTTTTGGAGTGGCACAAATAATTTGTGTGGCATCAAATTTGATACAGAACACCTGATCTTGTTCTGTAAATATTTTTGAAATGTTTAATGCCAAA